TTCCCGGGCGGTGTCGCCAGAAAGCGCCCGCCGCGACACATGTACTGCAAGAGGTCTCGGTGCGCGCGTCGCCCCCCTGGGGGGGGGCGACGCACATACAGTAGAAGTATCTTGGCTGACGCCGGCGCAACGACGGCGTGCAAACATCGAGCCGCATCGGCTCGTCGGAGCATCGGCGCCGAAGAGCATCGGGGAGCCTTCAGCCGCGGCCCCGCGGGCGTCGCCGGCGGGGAAGCGGGGCCAGTCACCCTCGAGAGGAGGAGGAGGAGGAGGAGGAGGAGGAGGAGGAGGAGGAGGAGGAGGAGGAGGAGGAGGAGGAGGAGGATGAGGAGGGAGGAGGAGGGAGGAGGAGGGAGGAGGAGGAGGAAGAGGAGGAGGAGGCGGAGGACCAGGACTCAGAGAAGGAGTGCAAAAATACTGCGGTGCCGACGCCGCCTCGTTCTCATCCGTGTGGGTCTCCTGGGAGGCCCTCGTCGCTACGCACCCTGGGAGGAGTCCGAAGAGCAGCGATACCCGTACCGCTTGGTTTCCCCAAGGAGGGGGGATCCCAAAAGACCAGCCTCTGGGGGCTCTCGCTGGGCCCCAGGATCGTCAAGCAACTATTCGGGCATGGACAACCGACTCCGGGGAAAAAACTTCGATTTCGGGCTGCGTATTGAAAGAGCCCAAGAGTCATCAACGATGTTGGGATAAACCCTCCCTCCAAGCTCCCTCTTCACAGGCCCCTACAACGGTTCATTTCCACTGAGGGAACTGCCTCGTTGGAAGACAACCGTTTGAAGACACTGAAGCGTGCCAGAACATTGTTCTCGGGATTCCAACGCCACGGGTCACACGGGTCAACCTGACTGTTGCGTCTTGACGATCAAGCAACGTCCCCGAACACCATTTCTGGGACTTCCAACGCCGCGAATCAACGACACTGTTGCACCCTCATAATCCTGAAGCCTTCCCAAACACCATTTCTGGTACGCTGATCATGGGAATCCACGAAACGCTTGCAAGTTTTTTTTGTTTAACAAATGTGCGCGGCGCTTAGGCGAGAACGACATTTTGAAAAAGACCCGTCCTTCATCTGTGGAACCCTGAGCCACATGTTTGAAAACCACCCGCCCTCGACCCATGAAACTCCTGCCATCTGTTCTAAAAATGCGCGCGTCGCCAAAGCGAGAGCCGCACTTTGAAAACCACCCGCCCTGCATCCGAGAAACTCTTGCAAATGTTTAAGACGAGTGGCGGCGCTGAGGCGAGAACCACATTTTGAAAACCACCCGCCCTCCATCCGTGAAATTCCTGCGAAGTTGTAAAACGAATGTGCACGGCGCGCGGGAGCCACATTTTGAAAACCGCCCGCCCTCAATCCACGAATCTCTTGGACTTTGTTCAAACGAATTTACGCTGCGCGGAAGCGGGGACCACGTTTTGAAAACGACCCGCCCTCCATCTGTGAAACTGTTGCCACCTTTTGAGCTTCATGGGCGCAAATGGTGAGGAAATCTCACGCAAAACGCCGGGCCCGCCCTAAAAACTGGCCTCGGTGTGCGACAGGGGGAAATCATTTACAAGGAACAGGAACGGAGGAGGAGGAGGAGGAGGAGGAGGAGGAGAGGGATGGGGGTGATGTACACAGACTTTGGGAGGGTCTCGATGTGTACGCCACGTCGTCTGCTCTGCCCACCCGTGGTACGCTGGAGCGTCTGGACACCGAACTCCTTCGCCGAACACATTGGCTCTCTGGCCGACCAGACGACGCAGCGTACACATCGACCCTCCGAGACTTGTCCAGGCCCACCTCGGAATTACTTCAGGGGGAACATAAGATCTGCATAAACATGAACATTCGGAGGTCCGCCCAGACTTCTTGGACCGGCGCTGGATACGAAACGCTGTACTGGGTGGGTGAAACGCAGGGAGGAGGGAGGAGTGACGGGAGGGGGGAGGAGGGGGAGGAGGAGAGGAGAGGAGGAGGACCGCGGGGCGACGTCTCTTCAAAACGAGGACCGAACGCCACAGGATGGTTGGGAAAAACACCGTACGCAGAACGAGGCGAAAATAAGGGGACTCACAGCGGGGGAACGGAGGAAAGGGGGGACGACGAGAAAGCGACGGAGTACGACCAGGAACGACGCGGATCAACATGCCACATGTTGCGGTCATTGCGGAGGTACGGGCGACGATCTGTCGCGTGGTACGGCTTTCTTGGCGGTGCTCTAAAACGCGCCGCGCCGAAAAATGCGCAATCGCAGTTGCCGCGAACAAATCGGCAGAACGCAAACGCCCGACTCTCTACACGCAACAACCACGCGTATGAATTGTCAACGAAATCGCGCCCCCCACGAGCCGGCCAGGCTCTCCATTTTGAGATGCGCGCAGTGGAAGGAGAAAAAACAATGCGAATATAGGGAGGGGGAGGGCAAAGGGAAGAGGTCGGGCGAGAAGCGAACTACAAATGATCACAGCCCACAAGAACGTGGCCAACGAAAGGGCGCAACAAAACAAAACGAATGACATTCCATTTTTTTGGCGCGCCGCCGAGAAGGGAAGGGGGGCGGGGGGCCCGCGAGTCCAGAAGGAACAAACTTGGCGGCATGCTGGACGTTTCAGGAGGCCTCGCCACGCGGAGGCGCTCTGCCCGCATGAACGAGCGCATCGTCGAACCAAATCGACGCAATAACGCCGAGCGAAGCATCGCTACGCAGGGGCAATGCGCCCATGCAAGACACGCGCAGCTAACAAGCGAAAAGGGCGTTACGCGCCGCCTTAAACATAATGCTGCAATGCCGCAGCCACCACGTTTTTACTACTGCGACCTCCCCTGATCAGCGCGCGCGTGCGCCGTGGCAAATGGGCGCTGCCGCGCATGATCGCCACTCGGCCTCGCGAAATAACATTGAACGGACTCTCCGCGGGAAAAGCGCTGCAAGAGGCCAGGCTGCAACCTTGCGAGAATAACACTGCGTCAAACCAGAAACACTTGCCAACGACAACCGCAACGCAGAAATAAGCGACAAACACATACAATAAGAAACGCCCAGAGCTTCTGGTTGCGGTGTTTTGTGCGGTCATCGAATGCGCTCCGCCAAGCCATCTGCAACTGAGACTCCAGCAGTGCCCGCGTACACGAAGAGGGCGACCCATGCGTTGCCCACTGCGTGAGCCAGTGGGCAACTGATTCAAGCAAGTGTTCGACATCCTTGTGCGATGGCACCCAAACAAATTCACACCTCTCCGGGCCATTCCGACGCACAGGAAAGATCTCCCACCACAGTGATGCAAGTAAGGATCCGTGTGCTTCGAGACCTGGACTCCAACGCACAGTTTCATTGACACAAGCAGATAAGCATTCACCACAACTCCAGGTCGCGCCATCATCATGCGCGCTCGATACCCGAACTGTCTGACCTCTACCAGGGAGGCCTCCATGCTGGGCACGAGCAGGAATCCCGGTCCTGGCGCATAGGTGTACAGAAGCCCATTCAGCTCTGCAAAACCTCGGGTTGCTGTTGTGCATATCTAACTAGTCACAGTACGTAATCGAACTTCAGCACCCCTATATTTCCGACGAGAAAATCGCAGAGGCATCCTCAGGCGATCGCGGTTGAAGGGGTTCCAGCGGCAGACAAGGTCAGGTCGAATGCGTCAGGGTCCCCAAATTCTCGTCAACCAGCGTCATTCAGGTCTTCCAAAACTCGATCACACCATCAAGTGCAACTTCTGGAAGCATCGGATGGCTGCAGCATCGCAGGACACACACACACACATTCCACTGGTGAGATCAACTTCCTTTCGCAACAACAATACGGGCTTTCCCGAGAGCTTCCAATGCCAAGTTCAACAGCTCTGTCAGCATACAGCAAGCCACCTGCCCACAACTTCCGAATAGCCTCTGTCATCGGCCCTTGGCGGGCAGAGAAGAGGGCCAGGAGCATGGAAGAGAGGGGTGGGAAGAGGTGGAGGATGAGGGAGGGAACGAGGGCGGGTGGGAAGAGGTGGGAGGAGGGAAGGGGAGAAGGGAGAGGGGTAAGAGATGTGGGATGGAGATCGGAGAACCGCGCACGGGCGCTGGACCGAACGCGCCAGGGGCGACGACGGAAGCGCAGACAAGGGCGGGTCCAACGCCGATCCAAGGAATCCGCGACGAGCTCTGACAATTCTGTCATATTTTGTGTGTGCCGTCTCTTCCCCTTCGAGTCACGGGATGAGGGGCAAAGAGAGGGGGGGGAACTGGCATAGAGGGGAAATATCGACCTGGAATCGGGATACATCGTCGACCGATCTGCTACTGGCCCCGGATAGCAAATCCGAACCCCTTTCTGGGCAGGTCGGGGCTATCGGGCACCTTTGTCGGCGATCAATGGAGGATTGGGAGTCCATGCATTCCCCCTGCCCTAGAGCCGACGTTGCAAAAAAATCAACATCGCAACCAATCACGACCGGCGCCCTGGACCCCATACTTTTCCTCGTCACTTGTGTTATGTTGCTGTCATCGTACTTAAGGACCACCTCCCAGAAATAATTTCGAGCACCCAGAAAATTAAGAGAAAGGGTGTCAGACGAGTATCGCCTCCCAGGGCCCGACACGCGAAAACCCTCCGGTTTCGATAATGTTGGTGCTCGAACTTCTTTCTGAAGATCGAGGCTAAAATAGGGTGGAACATCACAGCACTTGTGGAGCCAGATCGATCCGTGAGGGAAACCTGGGGCCAGACATGGAGCGAACACGCCCGGCGTGAGAAAGAGGCACCGCCAGGATCTGAGGGTACGCCTCTTCCCGTATCTAAAAGGGCCCAGCACACAAATAAATACACAAATCCCGGGATTCCCCATATTTCCCCACATTCTCTGGGTCTTCGTCTTCCCCCCACTTCCTATATCTTCCCATTTTCACCTGGGGATCGACGATGACTTCTGTCTGTGTGCTCTTTCCCCTCCTGAATATCGCTGCCCCTGGCGGGAGGTCCGGGGAGGAGGAGCCGCGCGGGGCGGTGGTCGCGGCCCTCTTTTCGTGCACACCGCCTCCGCGCCCGTGCGGCCCGGGGGGCACCGGGGAGCACGGCGGGGGGCGTGGGGCCTCCTCCCTCCCCTGCCGGCCTCGGTCTCGTCGATGGCCGCAAGATCTGCCCTCCCCTGAGATCCTATGGTAGGGGGCAACTGCACTGGGAGGTCTTCGTCGGAAGGATCAGGGAGAAGAGAGCCCAACTGGGGTAACAGGGGATGCGCCGACCCCTATCCCAGGTTTCGTGAGGTTTTCGAGAGGATGAAAAATTTGGGGCCCAACCCTGGGATATACGAGGGGGGGCGTCCATCCTCGATAGGGGTACGTCCGCATAGCCCCCTCGGGGTGTATCCCAAGATTCCCCGCCTTTTCTGAGCGGCCAAACTTTTCCGGCAGAACTCGGGGATTGGGGGAGAACAATAGCCTGCGATGGGGGGCTGCTTCGCCGGATCAGGCCGCGGATGAAGGGGGTTCAAGCGGGAGCAAGGCCGGATCGCACAAGCGGGAGCAAGCCGGAATAAGCCAGATGTCGGACCAGGGCAAAGTCAGAACTTGACCTCCCAGGAGTTGCATCCGAAATCCCAGATCTCCGACGATCTGATTCGGGGCGCAAGCTGAACCAGGTTGTCCGGTTTTGAGAGTCTTCGTTTTTCCTCGTGTTGTCTTCGTTCGGCTTCTTGTGCAAAGCGAAGTGAAAACACAGTTTAGCTTGCGCCCTGGTTTGATTTGTTCAATCCCGTTTGCCTCGATTTCAGCCTCTGCGGCCCGTGATCGGCCCCGGGATCACGAAAAAGGCATCTGGGACAAAGAACTGTCCCTGGGGAAGCTGCCGGGGACCCTGTGGCCACGGATTGAAAACAACAAGTTCGGCGGATGTCAGGGATCCCGGCGTCGCCATTTTGTCGCGCCGATGGTTCTCGCCCAGATTGGGACTGGGGTCACGAGTCCAGGCCGTGGTGATTCGCCGCGCTGACTTTTTCGCTCAACGTCGGCACGCTTGGTTCGTAGGCGGGCAGGGCGCAGTAGAACATCAGCGTTTCCGACACTGGCGACGCCTGCTCCACGAGCGGCCCACAATGCTACACCCCCGTGGCGGCACGTGGGGGCACAGACTGTCCAACCGCCCCTGGACGGGCGCACCCGATGTCGGAAAAAGTGTGGTTCAGCACAGCGTCGGCTCGCCCGCCGAGTTGGAAGCGGTGCGAACCCTTGAGGTCGGGACCGAGGTAAGAGAAGATGCCGATCTTGGGGACATGGACATGCTTCGGGCTGGCAAGCTCCCCGCGCATCAGAAGAAGTGGACGCGGTACACTAAGAAGATGAGCAGCTGCGAGCCAAAGAAGAGGACCACCATCTTCCACTTCAGCGAGGGCGCCTCCGCGGAGATGTCCATCAGGAGGTACTCGCGGATGAACAGCATCGATATGCCGGTGCCGCCCAGAACGCAGAGCCACCGGACGCCCTCTAGCGGGACCTTTGTGACTCCTCCTCCTGCTGCTTCTCCCCATCATTATCCTCTTCCTCCTCATCATCAACATCCTTTCCTCTCATGGTCATCATCAACTTCTTCATCATCATCATCATCATCAGCAGCATCATCAGCATCAGCATCATCAATATCGTCATCGTCATCGTCATCGTCATCATCAGCCACATCATCATCATCATCATCATCATCATCATCATCATCATCATCATCATCATCAATAGCAGAGGCAGCATCAGCATCATCGTCAGCATCAGCATCAACTTCATCATCATCGGCATCATCATCATCCCCATCCCCATCCTCAACCTCACCCTCAGCAGCATCATCACCACCATCAACATCAACATCATCATAATCAGTCATCATCATAATCATAAGCATCATCATCGGCGTCATCATCAACATCGTCGTCGTCGCCATCGCCATCGCCATCATCATCACCACAGTCAGCATAATCATAATCTGTATCCTAATCGTAATTCACATGTTCATACCCGTATTCTTCATCTTCATCTTCAAAGTCATCATCATGATCGTCCTCAGCATCATGATCAGCACAATCATCATCGTCATTATCTTCAGCATGATCAGTATCACAATCACCATCACCATCGTCATCACCGTCACCATCGTCAAGCTCATCATCATCGGCATCGTCAGCGTCATAGTCATCGTCATCGTCATCACCATCATCAGCATCATCAATGTCATCATCAGCATCAGCATCAGCATCAGCATCATCGTCATCATGACGATCAACATCGTCATCATCGTCGTCAGCATTACCATCATGTCCCTCCTCCTCACAAGTAACACCATTGTTATTATCATAATCAAAACCAGCATCAGCATCAGCATCATCATTAACATTTTCAGAATCAGCATCATCATAATCAGCATAATCATTATCATCATGATCATAATCATCCTCGTCAGCATCATCACCATCATCACCATCATCATCCTCATCATCATCGGCATCATCATCATCATCATCATCATCATCATAATCATCATCATCATCATCATCATCATCAACAACCCCCTCCTCCTACTCCATCTGGCCGTCGGGCCCCGCGCCCTTCGAGCTCTCTGAGGTGAGCTTGGGAGCCGCACTGCCCAGAGGAGCCATCGGAAACAGATGGCGACGGAGGGCTCCCCACTGTTGAGCTCATGGGAGCGAGGACAACTGGCGGGGGGGAAAGCAGGAGCAGAAAGCACGGCATAAACAGTGAACACGTATCGGAAGGACGCACGATAAGAATGCGAGGGCCTTGGAAGGCCATGTCGACACTTTGCCAGCGGGGCGCGGGATGGGCGAGCCAAAAGCGAGAACAACCTTAGGGATGTGGCCTCTGAAACTGAGGGAATCCTTGAGATCGGCATCGAGGTGAGGTGATGCCAGACACAGGGATAGGGACATGCTTCAAACTGGTAACTGGAGAGAAGAGGAGAGCGCGAACTTCGTGGTCCTCGCCCCCCGTGGCACGAACTCAGCGCGCGCCAGAACTGTTCCGTGCGGCTGCACGGTACGGCACTCCGCGAGAAAGCCCGGGGCATGTTCTGGCACAACCGGGGGCAACCTGAGGGGAACGAAAAATAACATAACCGTGCATTTTCGGAGGTCCCCGCGGATTTCTTGGATCGGCACTGGGTCCTCCTGGCGGCGCCTCCGGCGCCGCCGCCCCTGGCGCGCTCCGCGCGCCAGCGAGGGGGTGATTTCTTTATGTTGTTCTTCGGGGTCTACCTCGCCTCCACAGAATTAGGGGAACGAAAAATGACAGCAACATAAAAACTCGGAGGTCCGCGAGGATCTCTTGGATCCGCGCTGGACCCCCCTCCCTGGCGCGTTGAGCGCGCCAAGAGCGGCGCCAGAGGCGCCGCCAGGGGGCCCCAGTGCCGATCCGAGAAATCCGCGCGGACCTCCGAATCATTCTCTTCATGTCATTGGTCGTTCTCCGATGAGTCACCAAATGATCTTTATGATCGCCACTGCGCAGCCTCTGGGAGGCGTGCTCGGGCGCCCGAGCTTCTGACGTCGGGGGCGGCCACGAGGGGGGCGTCCCAGAGGGGGGAGGAGGGTGCAGATCATGGCCGGCGGCACGTGCGCGGCCCCAGGGGGGCGCCAGGGACGCAGTGAAAGAAGAAGAGGCGCCATGCCACGTGGGGAAACATCAGGGCCCACGCCATGATGTCCCCTCCTCCTCCTCCTCCTCCTCCTCCTCCTCCTCCTCCTCCTCCTCGTCCCCCTCCTCATTTCTCATTTCTCGCTATGCAGCGTCTTGTCGCGCGCCCCGCGGGCGCGGAGCGCGCCGCAGCGGCCCACCAGGGCCGTGCGGGCACTCGGACAGCGGCCCCGGGAACCCGACCCCGAGGAAAGCAGGGGGAACCAGGGACCAATTTAAACCACAGAGGAGGGAGGAGGGGGGCCGGGTTTCTGCAAAAATAAAAAAGGGGGCCCGTCAGGGCCCACGGGCGGGTGCCGCGCGCGCCCGTGCCAGCGGGCGTCAGCCGGCGCGGCGCTCGGCCAGGCCGTCGGCCTCTTTGTGGGCTGGCGGCCGCGTAGGTGGCGGCTGGGCTCCCTTCGGCGCCTCGCGCTGAGCCCAGCCGCCGTGGGTCTTCGGGTGGCTGGCTGCCCTCGGCTGCGGCGGCCTCCACCCTTCGGCGCAGCGCGCTGTGGAGGCCCGCCGAGCCGCTCTTGGGCTCCAGCAGGTCTGCAGCGGTTGCTCACATCACCGTGCCGATCCAGGCCGGCTGGCCTCGGCCCCTCGCATGCCACGCGAGGGCGACGGGGATGCACCCTTCGGCGCCTGGCGCTGTGTATCCCTCGCCGAGGGGCAGGCCGCCCCTTCTCGTCAAGTACTCCATGTTGAACCTGCAGTGCTGCCTGACACTGTGGTGCTCGAACACGTATCCCTCGTACTAGACGCACTGGACGGGTTGGTACTCCTGCTTGATCCTGTCCAGTCTTGGTCGTACTGGTACTCACTAGCCGTAGTGTCCGATGTCGTCAGTCATGCCACCCCCGCCTATGTAGTACAGGAGGGTGCTGATCTCGGATGTTGTAGATGTCGGTTGTTTGTAGGGCTGAGTGCAGGGTGTGGAGCGTGCTGGTCAGGTCGTTGGGGGTCGGGTCGTTGCTGGTTTTGCGTTGGTTGTGGGCTCCCAAGGCCTCCATGCACCGACTTCAAGTGGGGGTCTTGGCTGTCCCACCTCGTCCCGCTATGGCTAGGGGTCACAGTGCCCTCGGTGGGGGCGGACCCCAGGCCTGGTACTTGTCGTCGAAGTGGGATGTCTCGGCTGTCCTGTGCTTCGCCCTCGGGCGCTCGGGTAGCTCCTCCTTCTCCATGGGAATGGTGGGGGTGGCGAGCTAGGGCGGACCGCGGGGGCGCAGGTAGTGGCCGTCCTACCCCCCCCCCCCTGCCCCTCACCATCCCCGCTGGTGGGCGCGGGAAGTACTCGTCCTTCCCCCCCGCCCTTCGAGCCCGTCTCGAAGTTTGATCCTCACCAGGACAGCGTTGACTTGGCCGGTGGTGTGCGGGATCGTGCTGGGTATGCTGTCGCCGTCGAGTTGTAGGTAGCTGGCGCCGTCCAAGTTGTAGTTAGCCAGTCGCCGCCAGGGTGCACAACAAAACGTGGCGACTTATGCCCGGGGTGTTCCCTCGCATTCGGGGCTCCCCCAGGACTTGCGTTCTAACCAGGGCAAAACAAGGCGACGCTGCCTGAGGTCTTCCCTCGCATTCGGGGCTTCCTCAGGACTTACACCATGGCACCATAGTGCCTTGTCCAGGGCGCTAGATAATCATAGAAGTAAATGCCAGTGTTGAAAGAAAGCTAATAAATCCAGAAAGTGCTCGAGGGGGGGCACGTTCCGTCGCCATTGAGGGATCGTGCCCACCCGTATGGGCGCTACGGGTCCCCCCCCCTCGAGTATGGCACGCAATCGCTGTCCAAGACGCAGCCGTGCCAATAACCCAAAGCAATGCGGGTCTTGAGTACATACAGTGGTGCGCTGATGCTGACGCGCCTGCTCTGAAATATTACCCGACTGTACGCAATTCTGCAATGCCAACTGCCCTCCAATCTGTAAGATGCCAATAGTCTGCGTCAAACGAACAACCTATGGTCCCTTCCAGGGTCTGGCAAGTATGAATAATCCTGAAACAAATAAGCTCGAATATCTGCGCAGCCAACGTAGTGCCGCTGCAGTGTCAGCTGCTAGCGCCGTTGGGCACCCCATGCCCTGTGACAGTCGTGGCCCAGCTGCTCTGACTCGATGTAGTGGTCCAAGGGGGCATAGAACCTGTGATAGCATTCGTCCGTTTCGGCCCACATTGCCTCTTCGTCAGCAAGCTGTCCCCAGTGGGCTGCGAATGCAGTAGCCATTGCCTTGCGCAGCCTTGAAGGATATTCTTTGAGGGGGGCGGTCCTCCAGCCGCCTTGGCCGTCTCGTCCGTAAGCTCTATCATGTCCGTTATGTCGGCATAGCTGCCCCCCAGGTACCGCCCCCAGCTCCTGTGTAAGTTCGCCGAGGTGTACCGCCATGAGACATGTTGGCTTTCGCGCAGCCTGCCCAAACTGACACTGGTCTATGTAGTGCAGCTCGACGCTCGTCTGCTCCAACAGCCAGCGCGTCTCTGCTCGCTGCCAGCTGCTAGGCGCTTGAGGGCACCAGGTGGCTGGAGCGGGATGCTCGAGTACGGCTGATACGTTGTACTGCAAGCCCGTGGTGATGAGTAGTAGAGCTGTCCTGTATAACTCGTTGGCTAGTGCTAACTGTTGACGCTCCGCTTGATTGGCTGCTTGTATGCCCCAGGGGAAGTCGTGTGAACGTAGTGGTCGTGGAGCTTTCCCCTCGGCGGCACGCCAGCGCGATGAGCACCACGTCTCGCAGGGCGGGCCCGCCACAATGCCAAATATTTTGCCCTGTCGCATCGCCGCGCACCAAAACTCGACGACGTCTGGCTTCGTCAGGTCTCCTTTGT